GATCATTAGGCAGCCGATTGTTCACGGTCATCCAGTAGATCACGGGATAAAATCAGTCGAAGACGAAGGTGAATTATGCTACTTCGTCTTTCAACGCTGTCTGTGAAGTCACGTTCAGAACTCCGCGACAAATTATCCTCCAACAGGTCTTTGACGGTAACCACGCTTATTCGACGCCCTCCGTAATCAGCTCGAAGAAATTTTCATCTCCAATGAAGCATTCATCGTCATCTCAGAATTCCCTTATATGACTGCTACACTCTTAATCAAGGAAGTACAAAAGATTACTGCAGGCAAACCAAACTTGTTAGGATCGCCAGAGAGGACAACAGTGTCAAAAATATGCGCCTATTCATTCTCCCTCGACAGATGCGATTTTTAATGCAAAACAATTAGAAACTCCAAAGAACGCAAACAGAAACTCAAAAAACTCAGATAAAAAGTATAAAACCATCGTACTAAACAAACGATAAAATAATTGTTTCGCAAGCAATAATTTGCATTATTAGAAGTCAAGACAGTAAAGATATTTTAATCGAATAGCAGCTTTACGATCGGAACAATGAACAACAACTTATCGAAATTGCAGTCGCACATCATCTGTCGGAAAATATATGCGACTCATAATAATTTTGTCTTTAAACATTTTAAATAACAAGATATAATTTGTGAACATAAGCAGCACTAATGTCATAATGTGTTGCCATTCATAGGAATGAATCAACATTAGAAACGGACACAGGATAAGGAGGGCGTTCAAGACGCATAGTCCATTGACTACTCGCACTGGATCAGAAAACAACATCTAAAACAAAATATGAGGCAAAACTAGGAAATATTCGTCAGATTTAAAAAACGACATAAGACATTATTTGTTGAGGAACTAGACGACATGATGAAAAATTCTCAAGAACCAGAAAACAAATACAAGCCGAACCATCAATCATCCGCTAAGGTCTGCAATCTCCGTCATCCGTCCACACAGACTGACTTTGAAGCCATTAAAAGATATGTTTATGGACAAACTTTACAGCTAAGAAGAACATACTCCATGTACTTCTAAATGACATGCATTCCCTTCTTTGGTCACCGTCGCTCCTCAATCGATGGTTGACAATATTTTACTAATAGACAGTAACCATAAAATGTCTACAATGTGAGTCATAATTACGGAGATAATACTCGTAAAAAGATTCTGCTTGAGATATGAGAAAAGATGGCGGTCATCTGCAAAATCTCCCTCGCGCTTACAACAATTTAAAAACAAAAGCAACGGCCAAATAAATGGAATATGGCATTCATAACAGGCTGTCAAAATCCATTTTAATTTTCACTAAAAAGGCTGCGATAACAAGGCAAGTACGTCCTTAAACTTATACCGGAAAATAATGTCAACGACGAACATAAATGAAAGTTCAGGGAACAAATCTTCTAATCTTTCGCGGATGGCCGCGCAATGAAACAGTATGGAATGACCACTGAAAAGAAATTTGTCTGAAGAGTTGACAAGACTGAATGTTAGCATTCTGTACGTATTTTAGCTCCTTTGCACGACAAGCGGTATTACAGGAATGTTGTAATCTTCTGCTCGTATTTTTGAACTCATATTCAGTAGTCACAATAATTATTTTCGGTATGTTCATTTCAGTACATACCAATGTTTTCAATGTGAATGGCTTTGGAAGCCAAAACGTCGAAATAAAAGAGAAAGGACAATTTCGTCCCGCTCAAAATCATCATCACTGAAAAAGTGGAGTTTCATAATAATTATAGCTGACCTACTTAGTATCATATACAATATCAGTTCAAATCCGCGGATCTCGTGGAATTCTTTTAACGTGAATAATATTCTGTTTCATTCATCATTCGAATTTGTTTTTGGATCGGCGTATTGAATCTTCTTGTGGCCTCGACCTCAAAAAAACGACATTCGCCGTTCCTTCGAAACCTGCTCAAGCAGTCAAAATCTTCGTTCCCGTCGGTTTCCGAAAAGTGAAGGTTGAGTATCAGCAGCTTCAAAATTCGATCATTTAATTCAAGTACTTCAAAAAAATTTCTTGGTCGTCAACAGTATATCATTTTGAAAGCTCTGATGAGCGTGCTACCTCTCTGATGGTCCAATTTTCACATTTGCAATTTGCAACCGACTTGGCAGAGCAGACTTGCATGTCTTAATGTGAAACGGGTTCAAATACTGCGAATCTGCAATATTCTGGCAAACTTTTTCACGTAATTATTACGTTGCATACCCTGTCAAAGTCACAGTTTCGCCAGGGATGGAACCACGTGACTATAAAGTGACGTACCGCACCTCATGATCATCCATAGGCAATTCGCAAGAGATACGACTTTTGGCAGTGATGGGATCGAATTCAAGCCTAGAAGTATTGTTCCATATGTTGACTTCTTTAGTTACTGTAAATCCATTGTCAATTCTAGAAATTTTACGATTAGTACTACGATATATCAATGATCGACTCCTCTCTGGCCGTAAATCAGCAGGCGGAATCTTCTACCGCTGGCCAAATAACGTTATTCAAAGCATACGCGCCCGAAAGCTCTGAAGAATACCGGTTAACACTGCAGTCTGCTGCATTATACAGTGTTCACAACAGTTTAGTGCTATCAGCAAAAACATGTTCAACATTCTATAGTCAGCATGATGCCGAAGGGCGGAAGGTTTCTAGCAGCTTACACAAAGTCAAAAGTCGTCCACTAAGGAAGCAAAGAAGATTAAGTGTCTGGATGAATTTTCTTGTCATTTTTATAATGTTTAAAATATTACCACTCGTAGGCCTATTAACTATTAACCTTACATGTTAAATTACGCCAATCCCGTGTGCTGTACCAACCAAACTCTGTTTTAAAAAAATACTTCAGATTTTGATTCCAGGCCCAGAGTAATATAGATAGATGTTTGAATGATTCATGGTTCAGGGTACTAAATACAACAGATGGCAAATTTATAGCCGACGTGTTTCGCGGTACAGACCGTAGCATAATCAGGGCTACGCCAAGTACAAATGACTGCTTGAAAGCACTTATGTCCAAGAAGAGAACAATACTTTACAATCAGAATGTCACTAAACTGACCGACCCAACTCCAACTGTTAACCAACAGTATGAAGTTTTCATTACAATAATCAGATCATTGTCGCGTTAACCTCGTTTTTCGTGTCAGTTTTGCAATCGTCCCCCAGCTTTCAATAATAACCACAGAAGGCGTGCATTCATTGCATTCAGCATTTCACTGCCAATATATGTAAGAACTCATTTATAAGCAAACCTAATTTAGACTGGTCCTTGCCTGTGACAGGCGCACTGATCTCACTAAAAGAATGTCCTTCAGTAATTGCATGCTGAGCGATACCGGAACTGTCAACCTGCTCACGGCGGACCGCAAAAAAGTGCTGTTTTATCCGGGTGTTTAACTTCCGATTGATCTTTCCAGTGTACACCTTATCGCAGTCGCTGTAGTGAAGTTTGTATACCACTTTTGAAACTTCTACCGGATTAATGGGCATGTACTTTTAAACTGTGATTTGTTGCATTTGAGTAGGAAAATTTCCGACACGCCCGATTTTATAAGAAGTTGTCGATAGCGTGAGCGTGACGATAGTATGTAACACTGATAACATGCATGTATGCAAAAAGAAAAGCCTACATAAAATTTACGATGATCTTCGTTCGAAGGATCAGCGGCGATGCTGCACCCAGATCCTTTGTACACTGAACGATAATGCTTAACCACTGATCCGTCGGGCCAAAGACAGCAACCAGACCAGCTAAACAAGAGGCACACATCGCAGAAGCATCAAGAAATGCAAAAAAAGAGCAGCACTTACGATGTGTAAGGCACCTGAAAGATGTGTGACACCCTGACACATTCGATTTTCGTCCACTGGCCGAGATGCGCTGCTGAGCGATGCAGCATGTTACAGTATT